TTGTCTCTTAAGTAAAGTTCTTCGGGTTTTTGATTCTTTTTTGATTCTTTTGCACAGTGAGTTTTAAAGTTATTTCGAAGCTAAAAATGAAATTTTTTTTTGATTTATTAAGTAGATTATTGAAATCTCAAAAAGTACTTTAAACTGTATAAATTCAATTGAATTCGATTGGCCAATCACGTGAAAGTCCTTCTATGAGGTTCTATATCTACTATGGATTCTACGAGGAGTGTAAATTTTACATGATTATATTCTAAGACTTTCATAATTTTAAGGTCGCCACTTAAACCATCACTTACTTCTACCCATTTATCAGTCTTATTTTGATGTACATAAACTTTGACATCTTGATTATTAAACTGCCTAGAGGTAAACACTTCATACAATTCTGAAAACTGCTTGTCTTTTGTGATTGTAACTATTTTTTCAGGAAGTACACATCGAATACCTTCAGTAATAGTTACTATAAGATATAACATTGGATAATATTAATTACAAAAAATTTAGGTGTAGCTATACAGTTATTGCCATATCAAAAAAATTTACCGTAAATCCTAAAAGAAATATGCAAGTAAAAAATGGAACACTTCAGAATAAAATTGGTGAACCATTGTAAAAATGGAATACAACAAATATCTCTGACAAAATTAGTGAACAAACTTTATTAAACCAACTTTGTAAATTTGTATTTGAAAGAACTGTGAAAAGATAAAATTAACCAATTGTAATTGGATTTCGAATCCATTCTAAAGAATGGATAGATTTAAAGAATGGATGGATTTGACAATTTCGAAACCAAATTTGTATATTTATTGTATGATGATTGATTTTATCTAAAAATAATTCACGATCACAGGACTAATAAATTATGCAATATTATTGGTTGTATACATTGTATAATATTGGATGTTAATCATGAAAAATAAGGGAGAGGTTATGTAAAATATATAATCTAATTGGTCAGGCCTTATTATGATGAGCATGAGCAGTCAGATGTATAGAAAAGAATAGTTGAAGAAGATGTTTGAATATAAGAAATCTATGAAAAATTTCAATAACAATATGTTAGATATTGTTTTAGAATTACAGCTTAAGCTAGAAGAGAAGAAAATAGTGCAAGTGATATATGATGAGTATCACTTTTATGTGAATGATGGGTAACAGAAAATCTGAATAAAAGACGATGCGAATATTCTACGCTTGAAGCACATTGGACTCTCTATTATAGTTCAGCTTTTCTTTGTCTATATCACAGATTATTATGATTATCTGATGAACAGTTGCAAGCAAATTTACATATCAAAGACAAAGAAGCTTTCATTTTTTTATCTATACTAGTAGACAGATATTGAAAATCAAAACATATGTTAGATTAAGTTCAGGTTTTCTTATCCATTTATCTAGAATAAAATATGTAAAATCTTTTTAAAAAAATTCCTCTTAATTACAAATGTAGCTTGTATATCAAGCAATCCCAATATTTGAGATATTGCATCCAGAATGTATTGGGATTTTTTGTTTCAATCAATCAATAAATCATAATGCTATAGCAGTTGATGCACTTTTCACAATAAAAATGAATTTAGATTCTGGAGGAATGCAGCCTAAGATGTGTAATGGTTGGTACATTAATGAAAATAATAAGAAATGTGTTTAATCAATAATATTTTCAGATAATCATCAATCAAAAGGCAACCAAAGGGTATTAAGCAAGTACTCAAGGAACATAACCTTTAGTCAATAAAAGGAATTCGTTTGACATGTGAGCAATATTCTAAAAAATATGATGAAGTTAATCTAAAAAGGTCAGACTATTATGCACGAAGAATAATATCATTACAACCTAACTTTTGTGAACAATGATCGATCTTGAAAGAAGCAATAACTAAAGCAGGACATATTTTTGAATAATACCTAAAATTCCATTGTGAATACAACTTTATAGAACAATATTGAGGCTTTGTAAAATGAGAGATTAGACAGTTATGCAGTTATAGTTTTGCAAATTTACTAAAAAGGTTCCAAAAGTCCTTATTAGTATTCTTATAACAATTATTCGTAAGTTTATACGCAAGTTATGGAGGTATATAGATGCATATGATAAAGAGTTGGTAGGTAAAACTGCTGAGTGGGCTGTTAATAAGTATAAATCACACTGTTGATTACCTGAAAATATTGAAAGATTAATGGATTAATATAAATAGTAGTTATATAACCCTGTAGGACAATTTCTTTACCATCATAAATTATAAATTATTTAATTCAAATATTAAATACATAGTTTATATATTACTTCATTTCATATTTTCCGTTAGAAGTTAATTTGAATAAGACCTTAGAATATATAATGCGTCAAACTATATATTTAAATTCTTTTTTTTGCATTTATATAGTTTTTATTACACAAATATCCTCGATTTTTATTGGTTCATTTAATGTTACGTGATATGAGATTGCTATCAGAAAATTGAAATAAAATTATGTGATTGTCGAATATAGATTTTTGGCATCATATATAAATTTATTTATATATAAAAAATTTTAGACTTTATATTAATATATTTAAAGAAAAGATATAACTATATAAGAGATATGACTATATAGTTAAATATTAAATATTATTATTTAATAAATCTTAATATAATGAATTTAATAATTTACATTTTATTTTTTCATAATTATTAGATAATAATTCATTTTTTAAAAATTAAAAAATAAAAAATGTTAATAATTATTAATTTTAAAATTATAATTAAAAATTCAATTTTTTTTTAAGTGATTATTTATATAATTATATAATTAATTATATATTTTAACTATGAAGTAATTTGTAACATCAAAAAATTTAATTATTTGATTTAAATAATTATAATATAACTTTAAAGATAATTGCTAATAATTTCTTAATTATTATAAATAAGGTAAATTTTATTATTTTATTATAAAATATTCAATTAATATATTGTTTACTGTAAATTATAAATTGATCTTTGATAATTTATAAATTTATTATCAAAAAATATATATATAATATATAAATACTTTGCAATAGAAAAAACAGAAACTATTAAAATAAATTTTTTTATTTTATAAGTTAAATATGATTTTTTTAATCAGATTTAACATTAATTCAAAAAAAATTTTGAAGTTTTCTTTTCTTTTTATTACAAAACTTTTATATATATAAGAATATTATTAAAATATTAAAAACATTTTAAAATTTAATAAATAATTTTAAATAATAAAATAAAATTTAAAAATTATATTAAAAAATTTATAAAAAATAAAGTATTAATAAATAAAAGAAATGATAAAAATTAATAAAATTAAAAGGTTTAAATATTTTGTTAATTTAAGATAGATTTAGAAAATTAATTTTATATCTAATTTTATAAAACATTTGAAAAAATTTTACAGATTTTTATTTTTAAATTATTATTTTAATTATTTAAAATTTACTTTAAAATTCCTATTATAATTAAATTATATTAAATAGTAGTAACGTTTACTTTTTTATTTATGTAAGTAAAATTAGAAAATAAAATTTATGTTTAAAGTATAGTTAAAACTATTTATAATTATGCTGTTTATAATCATATAATAAAAATCCTTTTATAAATATTTTTAGATTAAAATCAGCTATGATTAGTTAATAAAAAATATCTTTATATTATCACAATATAATTATAATAAAACTTTTTTTAAACAAATATTTTGAAAAATGACTATGTAATCAAAAGTGATGATTTTAAATAAATTGATTATAATTAGGAAAATCTTTATAAAATCAATTTTTATAAATCATAATTAATTTAATTAATTTATATTACATTTATTTATTTCAATAAAGTTAATAATATTGGTTATTTAAATTTATGTAATTTTTTTATTGGAATGAAAAAAATTTAATTCTGATTAACATTATAAGTTCTTTTTATCTATTTACTAATTAATTAAACAGCTTTATAAAATACTTTAAAACAATTATTATATAGTAACTTCTGAATATATAATAAAAAATAATTTATTTAATTAAAATCTTTAATGATAAAAAAATAAAATTATTATTATCTCCTCTTATTAGTTTCTTTTTTGCTAAATATTATTTTAACGAAATCGTTATATCTCAATAGAAAGGTACTGCATGTGAATTGGTATATTTCATTTAACTCGATTTATTTATAAAAATTTTGATCATGCATTCGTTACACGAATCAATAATCAATGGTTTGGGAAAAAAACTCAGAAGCACCCTTTTTTGAAAATACAAACCGGTTTTTTTTTATCGCCTGATTTTATGGAGAAATATTTTTGATCTCCTTATGAAGTTAAGCTTAATGTTCATCCTAGCGAAAAAAAAAAATCAAATATTGTCGATTCATCAAAGAAATTTACAGGTAAGAAATCCGGATGGATTTTCATAAGCAATACCACAATCACGATATACAATCAGTCTATCAAAAGATGTCATTGGAATCTAGAACTTAACTTGAAATTTAAGTTTATCGTGATACAAGTTTCAAAAGTAGACAAATAAGAAATATAAATATTAGCCTAAATCAGGTAAAGTCACATCAGGGACTCAAAAATTCGATTTGAGGTTCTTTAAACATGACTCGCAATTAATGATTTTGATTGGTCTTTCACTTGCTTAAAGGGGAAGGAAAAACTAAGGATCATATCTCAAGAATGAAATCAATTCGGAAATGAAATATGAACATCATTTAAGCGGGGCTAATAATAATGGACGATTTAATTTCCAAAAACCAGTTTGATGACACGAAAAAATTACCATAATTTTAAAAATAAAATCCTATTTTAAATCATGTCATTTTCTAAATATGTTCCGAAACCTTAAAACTTATGATATTTATACCCTATTTTCTTTTTTTCTTTTTTTTCAACAAAGAAAGGTAAAAATCAACATCAACAAATAACACGAAAATAAATAAAACTGTAACATTATTTGCGAACACTGTGTTTATTTTTCATATGCCTCATATGTCGCAACTCTTCGAATTACGTCTACATGTAACCAACGTGTTTTGAAATTATCTGAATTCTGAACGTTGATTGGTTCCTTTGAGCTAAATTAGATTATGTGTGATGCAAATGATATCAAAGGGCCTATATCCGAAATTTTTGATGGGTCTATTTTCTTAATAATTGTATGTCAATAAAATCCTGCAGGAGTTTTACGCAGTCGAGATGTAAAGGAATTGATTGGGCCAATCTTTTACGGCAATCTGAAAAAAATCAACCCCAACTTTTGTGTGAAATCGGTGAAAATTTTTTGAAATGATCGAAAAAAACTCCAATCGATTTCTAATGAATAAAAATTCCGTAAAATAAATGTCAAAAGGATGTCAAAAAAAAAAAAAAAAAAAGAGTATTTCCAAACGACGATCATGTTTTTTGTACTCGTGATATGATAATTCTTAAAAAAAAGGAAAAAGGAATAAAGTTGCATCCCTTTAGT